GGCGGCCCCCGGCCCTGCGCCCGCCCCCGCCAGCCGCGCCCCCGCCCGCTAGCGCGGCTCCCGCCGCCCCGCGCTCCAGGCGAGCGCACTGCGGAACCGTCGCCCCTCCGCGCGGAGCGCGGGAGGGCGCAGGGAGGGCGCAGGGAGGAGGGGGCGGCCGCGGCGTCCCCGCGCTGGCCCCGGAGCCCGCTTGCGCCGGCGGGCGACGCGGGGGCCAGGGGAACTCTGGCCATGGGCAGAGCGCCGCCCCGCGCCTTCGCGGGGAGCAGCCGGCGCCGCCGAGCGGGAGGTAAGGGACGGACCCACAGCGGGGAACTGGCTCCCCGGTTCCGCGAGGCTCCCTACCCGCTTCTTCAGGGCGAAGGGTCGCTGTCGCGCCGGATCCCGCGGGTCTTTGCCCGCATGTGCCTCGCCGCCCGCTGCCTCTCCCCCTGCATCGCGCTCTCTGCCGAGGTTTCGTCCAGCAATCAGTCGGCTTCCGCCCTCGGCGCTGGACCCCTTTGCGCGACCCGAGGTGTCCGTAAGAGACCAGGCTCTTAAAGGACACGCAGCATTCGGGAATTGGCGTGCGTAAATTCGTGGGTTTTTTGGCAAGGGGGCCTGCGTCCCCCAGCCCTTTCACGCCTGGCACCAACACCCGGATTGACCTCCGAGCTCTGGTGTTTCTGGCCAGACTGGGTAGTTCCCCTCTTACTCTCTCTCTCTCCAAACAAACAAACAAACTGAGAAGCAAACCAACTTTGGGACGGGCAGATTGATTTGAGCCAGGCCTTAGCCGTGCAAAAGCTAGAGAAGGATTGTCTGCGACTGGGTTCACCAGAGCATGTGCAGAGTGCACCCCCATCAAGGGATATATGTGGGAGAGGGAAAGAGAGGAATGGGGTTGTTCCTTTTCTTTAGGTTGGATTTTGTTTGTTGGGAAAGAAATGTAGGTAAAAACAAAAGCTTGTTTGGAGGCAGTTTGGGAGAAGGTGACTTGGCCCCATTCTACTCAAAACTTGCTGGAATGAGAGATGCAGGGCATCTTCAGAGAGAAAACCTGGTTCAAATTTCAAAACGCACCAGTTTGCCATCTCTCGGCCTAACCCAACTCACAAGGTGGCTGTGAAAAACAAACTGGAGAGAGGGGAATTCTAACCTTGAACTCCCAAGATAAACAACAAAGAGACTTGTGGCATCTGGAAGACTGCACATTTATCCTGACATAAACTTCCTCGGCGACTAAAGCCGACTGCGTCTTTGTTGTAGCAGATTTACAGAGCTATCCCCATGGGAAAGCTTTCAAGAAAACTAGGATATGCGTGACTTTACAGGGGCCTTTCAGTTCATCTGCCTCTGGGTGTTCCTCTTCCATCTGCCTCTGGGTGTTCCTGCACCTTCCAATGTTTTCCAGCTAGCCTGCGTGGAGAAGGCCAGGCCAGGGTTCAAGAAAGAAGTGTAACCCAACTAGTACACAAAGCAGGGGCGCATCATGTCATGAGCTGAGCCAGCTGGAGCTGGGGTCAGACTAGATGTCCCAGGAGGCCCCTTCTGACTCACTCTGTTTCTGTGTTTGCCCAGGAGCCCTTGTCCCCAGATTGGGCCCCCCGATTTGGGACGGGGGGGTGAGGGCGGCAGATCCAAGGTTAGAGCACCGTCTGCACTGAGGAGAATGTAGAGCACCAAACCAAGGAAGACTTTCGCTCGATTTGCGGAGGGGGGTGATGGGGGGGCAAGGATGCAGGCAGCAAAGCCCGGGGGGGGGGTGGCATTGGCAAGATGGCAGTGGCGCAGCCTGCGAGATGCCCCCCCGAAGGCTCCCGGGGCGCAAAGAGCCGATGCGAAAGTGTGGTCGCCACCCTTCCAGGGGTCCAGAAACCGCCTCGCAGTTTGGCAATGCGGCATCCCCTGGTTGCCATGGCAACCAGCTCTGCAGGGCTCTGATTGGAGGGGGACGGAGGGTCTGCACTGTCAGCTCCCCCCCCGCCCCCCCGCAACACACACAGAGCTTCTGTCTTTTACCCTACAAAATGGGTTGAGCCTGAGGGAGATGCAGTTGAAAACCGGCCTTTTGTTCCCAGCAGAAAAGGTAGGGGGGGCGGAGCTCACCTGGAATCCCATCCTCCACTAAACCCTCTGCTGCCACTGAGAACGGCTTGCGGTGCTTTTGTGCTTTTGTGCGGAGCTTCCAGCGGCCCTGCATTTCAGGGCTGGGGGCTTCCCTCTCTCCCGCATATGTGAAGTAGGTCAATTCCGGTACATCCTTCTAGAGACCAAATCAGGATTCACGCCCACCTGCACTGGCCCAGTTCAGTCGACTCAGGGATTCCCAGGACAAAGAGGACTGTGTCGCCAGCCAGGAAGGGAAGAGGCAGCGACCGAACGCCTCTCGGGTAACGTTAGGGGGAAATCACGGAGTTCAGGCCACGCTTCTGGTTACCCTGCAAAAAGAGGTCCTTCCTTTGCAACTGTGGAAGAAAGGGGGTAGTTTATGTGGGTCACAGCCCCCAAGATCATTGTGTGACTGAACTGGAAGTCTCCACACTCGGGCTGCCCTCACGGCTGTGTCCTTTGGCCTGCGGGACTGGTTAACTTTTTTAAGACGCGGGGCCCTGCGTTGCTTCCTTCCAGATTTAAACCTCAGCAGCTCATCAAGATGTACAGAAGCACCCGGACTGAGCAAGGGGTAGAAAAAGGGGGCAGTCCAGCCTGCAAGAACTAGTTTGGGGCTGGAAATGTCTTCCTAGCCCAGTTCCCATCTTGGTCGCTGGCCGGAAGTCCACCCCGTTCCTAGACTGACCAACATCTGGGAAAAATGGTTCCAGTCACAGACTGGGGCAGTGCAGGGAAGGAAGGTCTTGGAGAGACCCGTGCACTTAAATGTGGCTGAATGCGAACTTCGAGAAACAAGGACAGGACCTCCGCTAGAGCAGAAGGCCGACCCAAAGACCTGTGCAGTTCCAGAACCCAGAGAAACTTTGCCGAGAGTTGTACTGATCCCACAGATCTTGGCGGGCTATACGGAAAGTCCCTGGCGTCCCCTAGGAAAAAGTCAGCCTGAATCGCTAGAGGGTTGCGGCTGCTGGTCAGTGTCAGATGTATTGGGTTAGGTGGACCCACGGTACCACACAAACGTTCCACTGTACCGTCTGGCGGACTGAACGGTCTAGAACCCAGGAAACTGCAGTGCGAGGGGCCCAGCCTCCCCAGTTCAAGCAGAGGATCTGGATTCCGCTTGCTGTTGCATTAAGCATGTGCAGAGTGTGCTTTCCCTCACCGTGTGTAAACAATACTGGCTCTCTGGGGAGAACTCTATGCTCAGGAAACACAAAGCCCTCGATCTGAATCCAAGTGCTAAGCATGGCTGGAAGAATGAGCCAATCTGAGCATGAAAGCAAGGCGAACCTACCTGGCAAAGGTGTGCTGGGACCAGAGGCGAGTGTAGGAGCAGGAATGAGCAGGACAAAGTTCGTGGACGGAGACACAGCAGGAACGCAGCCTGCACTGCACAGCCGTTCCCCTCGTTTGGCATGACGAGGCGCAGGTGAGCGGTGCCTCTGATAGCCTCTCCGGCACACCCAGCTGCTTTCGGTGGCTGCAGCCCCTCCAATCCTGCAAGCAGTTACAAGGTCTTGCTTTCCGTTGCCACGTGATCCGTTTCGGTGCCTCAGACCTCCGTGGCTTTATTCCCGCACTGCCCCTCCGTTGCCCCGAAGGCTGGCGTGCAGCGGATCCCGCGCGCATGTCCCATTCCTTGGTCCTTCCTCCCCACCCCCCACCTTGAGGAAGCAGGGATGTGGCAGGAGTGACCAGAGAAACGCTCCTCCAGTTGCAGCTTCAGAGTTGGAAGAACGAGGCCACCCACCCACTCACCCCCCCGCTGCAGCCATGCGCTTCCAAAGGAAGCCCTTTATTTATTGATCTTTTTTCTTACAACAAACTCAAAGTGCCTTATCTTTCGCTTCCTCCTGCTGCTCTCCATTTTATCCCCACAACAACAACCCTGCAAGGGAGGCTGGGCCGAGAGTCTGTGACTGGCCCAAAGTCCCCCAGTTGGCACCGTGGCTGAGTGGGGATTCAAACCCGGATCGCCTGGGCCCCAGTCTCCCACCCTGAATCCTGACACCACACTGTCTCTCTTACATCCCCTGGATCTTTTTTTAATATAAGTTCTGGAACGTTCTGGGCAGCAGCAGGCTGACTTTTCCTCCATGGGATGTCCTATCTTTTTAGGACATCAGCCCTACAGCGACTGAAGGAAAGACGTGCCCTCTGGGCATGCACAGAGGGCCCATTTCTCCACTGCTGGATAACCTCCAACCTTGCAACTAGGAATGCTGTTGGAGGCTACCGTTTTCTCAGACTTCCTTTTGTTCTGAGCATCCGCTGCTCCAGGAGGGCAGAAGAAACAGGAAGGCAAAGTCCCCTCCTTGGATATATTCAGGATTAAACCACAATCACCCCCCCCCCCCGACACACACAAATCCCCCCTGGGGTAGAAATCGTGTCATCTGCTCTGCCACTGTTCTAGGAATTTCTGCTACAGCCACCTTCTCTGCCAGGCGGCTTCCAGAAGTGCAGACCACAAGTCCCATCCTCCCCAGCCAGCACCAACCATGGCTATGTTGCACCCTGATGCGTGTGGGTTCAGGGAAGGGCATACTTAATACTAAGACATCACCGGAGCCTCTGGAAGGGAGTCGCTTCTGGGAAGCCAGCCTCTGCAGTTTGAAATGTGAGAACCAGGATAGACAAAAGTACAGAAAAGCAGAAAGTGCACCGTGCTTTGCCCTGAGGCTACTCCTGCCAGGAACATCCTGGAGGGGGCCGGGGGCCGGGGGCCGGGGGCGAGGGGCAGGGTCTATGGCTGGCCAGGAAGCCCAAAGCGCTGATCTGGGTCCTCGGGCATCCGATGTGGCATTACTTCGTTGCGTTTATATCCCGCATCTTTCCTCTGGCAAGGAGCCCAAGGCAGGCGGCTTTATCCTAACAACAACCCTGCAGGGTAGACTGGGCTGGGAGTCCGTGATGGGCCCAGTCACCCACTGAGCTTCATGGCCGAGCGCGGACCGGATATCCCAGGTCTCCAGACTCAGATGGCCGGATGCGGGCCTTGCCGAGCACCCTTGGGCGCTGCCTGGGCTGGTTCCTCAGCTGAGGGCGCCTGTCTTAATGTGATCAGGCCTTTGGCTCATCTGCCCCCGTGTTTCTCTTCCGGCCACTTATTCGAGCTCAGCCCCGGAGATTTCGCTACAAGGCCGTGCCCCGATCCATGTACAGGAGCTGCTCTCGTGACCGACACTGCCGCCGCTCCGGCTGGATCGGGGCCCAGTCCAGAAGGGGTGACTGAAGGCCCCCTCGGCAGCCGGCAAGAGAAGTTGGCTCTGTTTCATTCCTGGTGACGTGAGAACTTGCACCCGCAACTGCCCGGGGGGCTGCCGACGTTTCCGACGCACGGAGGACGAAGCACGGTCCCCCATCCTGTCCGGCACACGCTGCCCGTCACATCCGTCGCGCTCGTCCAAACTGGCGAGTGCGACTTAGTTGGCGCTTGTGCATGAAGCTTGGCCTGCCCTTTGCAGATCATGAGCACAGCAGGTGTGTTTCGGGGTTGGGGTGAGACAACTATTTATAGTGCCGACTCCCTGGGTGCAGAAGAAGCAGCTGCTTGGGCTGGCTGCGAGCTCGGAGAGAGAGAGACGTGTCTGACGCCTGGGGGTCTACTGCTGATCTTCCCAGCACAGAGCTTTGCTCAAGGACGTTGGGGTGGCGGTGGGGGGAACAGGAGCTCTCCAAGCGAAGGTTGACGCTAGAAAGGGGAATCGAGGTGTGGCCCGAACGTCAATGAGGCTGCACCAAACCAGTCCAGAATCTGGTCACGTGGTGGCCAACCAGCCGCCTGCAGAACACTCGCAGACAGACCCATGTTCCCCAGCATCTGGTTCCCTCTGAGCTGGAGGTAGCATAGAACCATGAGGACTAGTAACCAGAGATCGCCTTGACCTCTCTCTTTCCAAGCAGGCCAAGTCGGTGACCATCAGTATTGCCCGGACTCCAAATTTCATTCTTTGGCCATTCCGTGGCGTGTTGATCTATCCGAATGCTGCTTCCAATCAATTCCATGGGGTGACCCACCGAGTTCTAGGATTTTCGAGTGTGGGACGGGCAAAAGATAACAAGTGTTCCTATTTCCTGACACCACCCCAACCCACGCCTCCCGGGGCTGCAACACCCCAGGAGTGTGGCCAGGAAACTCCGCACGGCCCTCTGTCACTCTGTAACAGCTGCTCTTGTTTCCCTGCCAAAGTTGCAGGTGGGATCCCGGGAGTCAAAGGGTCCCGCCAGGATCAACACATCGCCTGCGCCACGGGGCAGGTGGGCGCCACAAGGGAAGGCTGCAAGCTGTGTCTCAAGCCTTCTGTCCGCTTGCCAGTTTGCCAACTCTCGTCTCCGCCGAGTCCCTTTGCAGGTCGAGGGCAGGCAGTTTGTTCGCTTGCAAAGACAAGAGAGACTTCTCTGGCACCGCGAAGACTTCACCGATTTATTTTAGCTGAAGGTTTCACATGGATTAGAGCCTGTTCTGTGTTATTATATGCTGGCAGATTTATATACATATATGGAGATGGAGAAAAAGAGGAGGGGATTGGAAACAGTGGGAGTAAAATGCCAAAACGGGAGCAGTTGTGTCTGTAGATTCGCAGTAAGAATGCCATGCTTTTCCAGCTTTCTTTAACTCCCTTATCTGAATCCCTTATCTCAATAAAGACCAAGATGAGTAAAATCAAATTTAAGGGCACGTCCTTCTTAATAAAAACTGGATATCTTCACGCTCCCCCCAAGCACCTCACACTATGTTCTGAGGATCCCCTAAGTCAAACGCTACTTAAGTCTTACATAAAAGCCCCCTTGAAATGGATGGGACTTAAGGAAGTCCTGCTAGTCCTGTGCTGGATTTTGGCTTTTGATTCAAAGAATCCAGAGGTTTCTAAGAAGAGAAAAATTATCTGTCGTGTTTTGTTAGGATTTCAAGGAACAGTGACTCATCCTGCATTTTCCTACGGTGCTGGTGATAAATTCTTCGTTGCTTTTGTGGCTGCCGCTGAGGAACATGCTATTAAAACGGGCTCTGTAATTTGGGTTAATTTCGGCCCTCATTTGGCACAGCGCCCACCCAAGGCCTTGTTTGGGAGGGAACCTGCCTGAGATCTTCACCAAGAAAGCAAAGCCGTCGGAAGAAGCCGCCGCGTGGTGGTACAGCTCCTGCTCTGCTGGCAGAAGGTCCACGTTTGGTCCCCAGGAGGTCGGGGAAGGAATCTCGCCCTTTCCCCAGCAGGATGGCAAAAACACCTGCCGAAATCCCCGGAGATCTCTTGCGAGCTTGTCTGGAGAAGAGCAGGCTAGACACACCTAAGATCTGGCTCTGTGGCCAATTTTGCACAAGACGAGCATTCGTTGTGGCCACAGTTCTCATCCCGTTTCCTAGGGGGCTGCAAGCCACTTGTTCCTGGGCTGTTCAGCCCACAATGGGTTGTTGGGTTGTGCAAACCCAGAAGACGCATTTTATGGTGGGTTGTGGGACTCAGCTGAATTTCATGCACATCTCTCATTTCTCCTAGTAGTCACCTCTTTTCTACATTAAACAGCCCCGTTTTTCCTCACTGGGAAATTGTTGCAGTCTGGAATGTGTTAATACACCTTCTCCACATTTCTTCAACCTCTCCGATACGTTGTAAAGTGCAGTGACCAGAACCGCACGCGATAATAATTACATCATTTCCAAATTCTGATCAGACTAACAGGCTGAAAGAAAATCCGCTACCCTCTTTGAAAAAAATGGGCAAAGATCATTTTAACATGTTTATTTGGTTTTCGCTTTGGTTTTCTTTCCGTATGCCCCGTTGGACAAGATGAGCAAGGGTGCCTGCTTTGCAGATGAGAAAAATAAAATCCACGCTGCCTTTGAAGTAAAAATGGGGCAGAAAAGCACCTTTTAAAAGGAGGCGCCCGTACGCAGAATCACCCCAGGGAAACAAGCACCTTTGAAATAAAGGCAGACAAGGTGTTCATCCGGTGTTAAACAGCAGAGATGGGTCACAATGGGGGGGATGCAGGGCGTGGGTCCCCCGGGGGCATTTCTGCATGAAAGCAGGAGACAGAGGTTTGGGCTGCAGATCTGAGGATGGAGGGGGCGCGGCGGAGAGGGGCCGTTCGGTTCTCCTCCTCCTCCTACGGACGGGAAGCGGTTGGACTTTTGGAGCTGGGAAGCAGGAAAGGGGCCCTGCTGAAGTTGCTGGTGGTTCGGGGGAGACGGCGCGGGGGAGCCTGGGCGCTCATTCCCGGGGCTCGTCGGGGGCGGGGATCTTCTGGCGCGTGGGCTCCACCCCCCAGATTTCTCGGGCGTACTGTGCAATGGTGCGGTCGCTGGAGAACTTTCCGGATTTGGCAATGTTCCTGATGACCATTTTTGTCCACTCCTTGGTGTTCTGGGGGCAGAGAAGAAGGTGGAAGGGAGGGGGGAAGGATGAAGGGATGGGCAGACAGATGGACGGGGGCCCAGCCCATCTCCTCTTCCTCCTCTCCCCCATGACTTCATGCTTCAAGGCCACGGGGCACCCCCCATCAGAGGCCGGGTACCAAAAAGATCCGGGACTCAGGCAGACAGACAGACAGAAAATGCAGATTTGCACATGCGAATTGACTGATGGTTCTTCCTACATTGCATTTCCAGCTCTCCATACTTCCTCTTGCAAGAAAACTGAGGCAGCTTACACAAACGCCCTCGTCTCCCATTTATCCTCACAACAACCCTGCAAGGTAGGCTCGGCTAAGGGCTTAGTGAGGACTAGAACCCCGATCTCCCAAGTCTGGGCTCAGTACTGTAACCACGAGGCCATGCTGGCTGCAAAGTCTCTCTGTGTGTCTCGAAGACACACGCGGTTTATCAGTCCCTGGAGCTTTATCTGAGCAAGTACCCCCGGACGGATGCTTCTCGCGGGGCACGCCGGGTACAGCTCACCTTGTAAAGAGCGCTGACCTTCTCCTGACACTGTAAGTAGGCTTCATAATCAGCAAAGACTTTGAACCTGCCAAGAGGAAAGAGCAGAAGGAAAGGGCCGTTTTACACCTGCGCAGGGCCGCGCTTAAGAACAGCCTCGTTGCAGGAGTTCCTCCGAAGCACCACGTCACCCCAAGAGCCAGCAGAGGGGCCCCGGTATCGCCTCCCAGGGTTAACTTGTTTACTAAGCCCTGCTGTTATTCCACAGCTCACTATAAGCTTTTGGAAAGCAGGTACCCAGGAAAGCGGAACCGAGGCAGGGAGAGTAGAAATGAGGCCCGAGGGCGGAAACGGGGGCTGGGGGGGAAATGAGGAGACATGGATCCCACTTGTGAAGCAGTGGGTCCCCTCTGCCAGCGGGCCCCACCGCTGGACAATTCAGGGCACACCCGGAGGGCGCAGAGAGGCAAGCGGGTGCCGAAGTGGAGCTTCCGGCCCCCTCCGCAACCCGCTGCTTCATCAGATGCCGAATCCGCTCTCCCTCTCTGCCTCTCTTGGCTTGGAATCCGTGGGAGAAGGCCCTGCCTTGAAGCTGCCCCGCCAAGGATGATGGGATCGGTGCAGGCTCCCCCGCCATTTGGACTGCACAGGCGCCGGCAAAGACGTCGGCCGCTCCCCACTCCAAACTCCACCGGCCTCACCTGTCGTGGTACATTAGCATGTTGACGATGTCCTTAAAGAGATCCGGCTGCTTGGGGGAGAAGAAGCCACTGCTCAGCTGGTCAATGGCCTGCTTCAGCTCGGGGATGTGGTCGTAGTAGTCCTTGGCACAGTAACTGCGGGGAAAGAACGATCCGTCGCTCAGACTGCGCAGCCTGTGAGGACCACTGTTACACCCCGGGTGGCTCAGATGCCCGAAGCACTCCAGCCCTTCACAATATACTTGTAGTTGTAAACAAAATAAATTTCCACTTGGAATTATTGCATGGTTTTGTCGCATTTTATGCTCCTGTTTTGGGGACTGTCGTAAAGATGCTAGAGATCTTGGATCTGGGTAGTGTTTGACCGAAATTATTAATAGTTGTGGTGTTGAGAAGAGGGTGCAGCCTTCCTCTAGCAAAAGGGGGGGGGGCAGAACAGCTACAGGGAGGGGAACGGAAATGGGGTGGGGGCCTTGTGGGGACGCAGGTGGGGCCGACCACGGCCTTCCTTCCTGGGACGCACCCTTTCCTGTCGAGGTCCTCGACATCCTCCACCTGCATGCCGAAAATGAACAGGTTCTCTCGGCCGGCTTCCTCCGCCATCTCCACATTGGCGCCGTCCATGGTGCCTATGGTCAGTGCCCCGTTCAGCATGAACTTCATGTTCCCGGTCCCAGAGGCTTCTGTGCCAGCTGTGGAGATCTGCTCAGAGAGGTCCGCCGCGGGGATCACTGCGGGAAATGGTGAATGGTGACTCCATGCAGAAAGGCCTCTTGGCCAGCAGGAGGCATGAAAGGGCAAGAGCCACCAGAAACCCAGAACAGGTGCCTGCGAGTTGCCTTTTTCCTCTGCCCTCCCAATCACCTTTCCTCTCGTGTGGTGACTTTTAGTCTGTAAACCCAAGGGCAGGGACTGTCTCGCTAGTGAGCTATGTACGACACTTTGAGAGCCTTGGTTTTGGATGAAGAGCTGAGTGAAAAGGCTGCCAATAAAGAAATAAGAGACCAGCCTACCCTTTTCAGCCAGGGAAACGCGGTAATTCTCCAAGAAGATCATCTTGAGCCGGTCGCCAATAACGGGGTCATTGTTGACAATGTCTCCGATGGATGTGATTAGCTTTATAATCATCTTGGCCATGTGATATCCGGGTGCAGCCTAGCCAGAGAGGAAAGGATGTGGAAAGGAAAGCAGGAATGCTCAGTTGTTGGGGAAACACCAACATCACCTACAGCTGAGTATGCATTTCCATGGATCACCTTTTCTTTACGGTGCCTGCAAACTGCCCAAGAATGGAAGCTTATTCTGGGCAGGGTGCAGTACACCAAAATTATTAGATTCAAAGGTTAATTTAAAAAAACTGGATTACCAAAGAGTAGACAGAGCTGCAAAGTAAGTAACCTAGTATTTTCCCAGTATGTTAAGGTTTAGATTGAGATTTTAAGTAGGTTTTTATTTGTTTATTTATCTACTTAAAAGTTTTTCTATGGTGCCCCATTACTAAACGTCTCTGGACAGTTTTTATTGTATAGAATGGATGCTATGCTCCTCTTTGTTTTATCAGAAGACTGTCCGGAGACCATTTGGTAGTGGACGGTGTGCAAAACGTTTTAAATCAACCAATAAATAAGTATAATCAAATGCAAACATGACAAACAACACTCAGCACAGAAGAAGAAAACCATCGCAGAAAATCAAAGCACCCCAGTAAATGGGGGCAAAATACACACAGAAGCAGCAGCACTTCCTTCCGTATTTGAGAGTGGGGAAAGCCTGCCAGGAGGAGGAGAACCCCACGCAACCCCTGATGGGGGAAGAAGTGGAGCCGCCTGGGGAACTGCAAGGACCACGGAGGGCTGAGTCGGCTTGCGGTTGCCCGCCCTGGCGGAACCGGGTGTAGGGTCGCTTTCCTATTTTCCTGCAGACCCCGATCCAGCCTTGCACAGCTCCAGACCTGCCCCCCACTGCCCCTGGGACGAGCCGTATAAGCCCCACTGTGCTAGGTTCTCACTTTGCCTCCAATCATGACCGTCCGTGGCACGAAATGCTTGTTTGGCTCCCGCTTGATCCCTGTAAACGGGGTGTGGGGTAGACAATAAAACCACAACACACACACACAAGAGAGGGAGGAGGAGGAGAGAGAGAGAGAGAGAGAGAGAGAGAAACTGGAATGCTGCTGCTCCAGGATTAGAGGATCAGGACGGGTGTGTTTTCCCCCGGAAGGTCTAATATCACGGGGGAGCAACAGGTTGAGCTGGGGGTCAGAGGCCGGGCCAAGCCCCTGCAGCCCTTCCCTCCGGCGGCTGGCAGGAGAGGGGGAGATGAAGCACAGGGGAGAAAGTTTGTTTGCTTATTTAGCAGGCTTCTATGCCGCCCCGTTCGCCGAAGCCTCGGGGCGGCTCACAACAATAAATAACAACCACATAATTGGGCCAGTGTCAAGCTGTGAGGACTCGCATCCAAGCCAGGAGCGCCTTGGGACTTGCTCTTCCTCTTTGCCATGGCAGCCGCCCTGGCCCAGCCCACGGTGGTGATGAGGAAGAGGAAGAGGAAGAGGGGGTGCCCTAGCCTCCTTGCCCCTGGGCCCACCACCTGCCAGGCAGGCAAGCAGCCACCCTGCTGAGAAAGGGGGCTTTGGGCCCCCCTTGCCCAAGGCCCTCCACAACCAGGCGTCAGCCCTGGGTGACGCGATCGCCGCCGAGGATGGAGGAGCACCTCACTGCTTCGGCCGAGGAGAGAAACTGAGGGCCGACAGGAAGGATCTCCCCTCCAGAGCACCGGGGTGGTGACAGGGTGAGAGGTCACCTTTCCATGCCCGTTGTCATCCCTCGAATTATCAACGGCCTCAGCCGGAGCACTCTGCATTTTTAAGAAAAAGGAAGCCTGCACGTTTTGGGCAGGGGTCATTCAGATGATCCATAGCTGGGGTGGGAAGCCGCTTTCCGTCTGAGGGCCAGATTCCCCTTTGGAGCAGCTCTCTGGGGCCGCATCCGGAGGCGGGCGGGGCCAGCAGCGGTGGGGGGGGGGGGCAAGGCCAAAGAGAGAAAAATACCGGAATGCTAGCTATGCATTCTCGCAGTGCCAGGAACTGGAGAGGTATGCGAAGCTTTGAAGAGGTAGGCAGGGCAGAAATGAAAAAAGCGAGCAGCCAGGGAGATGAAGTGACACTCGGCAATTCCGAAAACAAACATAACCAACGGCTGATGGTCATTGGCTTTTGGAAGAATAAGAAATATCTCTGTTCCTAAAGCAACTGGGCCTTCGTTGCACATTCGAGGTCAGCACTGCCCTCCTGCAGAAGCCCAGTTCGGCTCCTTGGAGGGAAGGCACGGCCGGAATGCACTTATGTATCTGTTCCTTGCCGAGGAGTCGGCAGGAAGGCTGGCCAGCGGCCCGAATGCCGCAAGTGACCATGCCCACCTGGGAGACGGCAGATCCCAGCCCTGACCTTAGCTAGTCACGCAGCACGTGATGGAAGCCCGGCTTTTTGAAGATGTGCCCCCATACCGGGGAAGGAAGGGGAGGGGAGGGGGAGGGGAGGGGAGGGGAGGGCGCAGGCAGTACTCACGGTTATACAGTGTGATGACGTGCAGGCAGTTGAGCAGCTGCCGCTTGTATTCGTGAATCCTCTTCACCTGGATGTCGAACAGCGAGTTGGGGTTGATTTTCACTTTGTACTCCTTCTCCAAGTAGGCAGCGAACTTCAGTTTGTTCTCCTGATGAGTGGAAGAGAAGAGGGAAGGGGTGAGACACATTTTCTCCGAAGCCCCCAAGGAACCTCAGCTATCGGGTGGTATAAAAATGATAATTGATTAATTAATTAACCAACCAGGTTTGGACAAGGATGACCCACCCTTGAGGGAGGAGGATGGGTTGTTCTCAAACCATGGATCGCTGGAACATGGGTTATCATGTTGTCTGAATCCAGCCGAGATAAACCACAGTGGACAACCTCACAGTTCACAAACCATGAAGAGAACCCATCGTTCGTTGCTGGGTTGTGAACTGAGGGTTGTTCATGGTGGTTTGTTAGCTGTGTTCAGACAATACAATAACCTATGTCGTAATGCCAACCCACACCCCGCCTGTATGGGTCATCATGCTGTATGAACCCAGTACCCTGAAACCCGACGGTGAATGCAGGTGAAGCCACATCGCCAGTGGTGTTATGAACCCGGCGCTCACAGGGATGCTGACAAACCAGCCCCTGCAAAAAAAAACCTTCCTTTCCTCCTCCAACTCAGCTGCAATCCTCAGAGGAAGTGAATTTCCGCAGCAATCATGTGTCATCCCTGATATTGAAACGCAAGGTATTTTGGACTCGCTCGGTCCCAACCAGGCACAAGCGAGATGCAACGCTCTACCAAAGATCTCCTGGACAAGGTGAAAACTGCTCGAGCTGGCTGGTCTGAGCACCCACTGCCGAAAGTCTTGGGCTCCGCCTGAAAGCATCCACTTTGGTGAGATCCTCTGATCCTTCCCCACATTCCTGCCCTCCTCACCTGCTTGACTTTCGCCACATCCCGGATGAAGCTTTCATCGTCCACGAATTGCAACAGCTTCTTCAGTTGATCCAGGTCGGAGATGTAGTCCTCTCCGATGCGCTGGAGGAGGGGGCGGCAAGAGAAAAATCAGCAGCTGCCCTCTCTCTTAAATTCACATTTTTCAAATCATTTTAGAGGCAAGATATGGGAGGGCGACCCTGTATAGTTTAGACCCTGTAGACAGGACAGTGCTGATTTAAGTCAGGTTAAAATTACACAGGCTATGCCTTCTATCCACTTCCACATTTCGGATGCTACACTGATTAAACTTTTGCCCCCACTGCATTTTAACCCCCCCAATCATATGCAGGTTTGCATTTTAAACTCAAGTTTTGCACTTCAAACTCATGGGGCGAGACAGGCTTTGCTTCTGCATCTGCCGTTCTCTGGCCGGTCATTTGTTGGGTGTGGGGGCTGAACTATGACACCCAGGACTGGGGTCCCAGCACCCAGCCCTGACTGTGCCACGGAGCCCAAGATCGAAAACAGGGCGCGCCAGACAGGCCGAAAGCCCCTTCTGGCTGGCCACAGAGTGAGCACAGCTGCTCCAACCCAGGAGAAAACTGGACATTGAATTAACCGACTTGGTTTGGACAACAAAACAACCCACCTTCAGTGAGCACAAGGTGTCCTGCAACTGTGGAGTGTTGCTGAATATGTTGTGGTGCTCTTGCCTGAATACGGCTGGTTTGTTGTGGGAATGTAGCCACCAGAGCAAGTCATGGCTTGTTAATCATGAGCAACCCAAGAGGAGAACCCCTGGTTTCTGGTCGGGCTCGCCACCATGCCTTGTCTTGGGTTCGGACAACCAGCAAAACCTCAGCCCCACAGGGGGTGGAGACCTATGCATCTGATGCAAATGGCTCTTAAAACGGGCACTACCAGAACCACTCTGCTTTGGTAAGTGAGAACAGAACTTGGTTGCCCAAAAGGCCCGTTTTCCGGAGGCCACCTGGCTCACCTCAGCAATAATTTCAGCCAGGCCGGGGTTGCACAGAACGAGCCATCGGCGGGGTGTGATGCCGTTGGTTTTGTTCTGGAACTTGTGGGGTTCGAACTCATAGAAGTCTTTAAACCTGGAAAAGGAGAAGGGGCCAATGAGGCTTGTGGTCAAAAAGAAAGACAGGAGGTCAAAGGAACGGAGGGAGAATGACAATTAAAGTGTGGAGACGCTTCGCTTCTCGATCTAAAAGGGGTGTTGGTGGTGGCCTGCTAGGCAGGAAGGGGATTAAAACCCAGGTGAGCAAAAACATCCGTTGCTGTCGAAAGGGGATAAAAGAAAGCAAAGCTGTTTGTGGTGGCGGGAGAGTCTTTTTTGCAAAGGTTGGTAAGAGATTTCTGGATAGTTAAGCCGTTTGAGACCAACTTTTGGGACCAGCTCTGGGTCTTTCATTTCTGTGTCCTTGCCCTGAAAACATTATTTTTGCAAATATGTTTTTACTGAAAGGAAGGATGGACGGACAGACTGATGGTCAGCCCTAGATCTCCAACACTCCCCCCTTTAAAAGGAGACTTATGCTGCTCACATCATGCAGTGTGGAGAAGACACTGCTGGAAGGCGTCCCTTTGCGTTCCTGCACAGGAACTGTGCTGTTCTGAGGACTGATTTTGGAAGTCTTACAAAACAGAATAAAAATCAGGCAAGGTGGAGAGACAAGCAGGCACGGAGAGACCCCAGGAGACCGAAGAAGGGCCATGGGCAGCGCTGTGCCATCGTGGGGCGGTATACCTACACGGTGGCCTTCAGGATTTCCGAGTGGATGCGGGCCACCCCGTTGACGGCGTGGGAGCCCACGATGCAGAGATGGGCCATGTTGATCCGCTTCACGCTGCCTTCCTCCACCATGGACATGCGGCGCAACCGATCGAGGTCTCCGGGGAACCTGGCATAGACTTTCTGCAGGGACAGAGGGGATCCAAAGAGCTGTGCTTAACAGGACTTGGGCTTCACCTAGTCCAGCATTCTGCTCATCCGACGGACGACAAGCTGCCCAGGAAAATCCCGTAAGCAAGACAGGAAGAGAACAGTACTCTCCCACCCCTGTTCCCCAGCAAGGGACAACAGAGGTCACTTACAGCCACGAGGACCAGCAGCTTTTCATAGCTTTCTCTTCTAGATATTTTCCATCCTCTTTTAAAGTTTTCTGAATTGCACTATGTCCTCAAGTTTTTTTTTAAAGAAGGTTACACATAGTTGATGGTTGCCTGCCTCCGTCAGGGGCAGGTAGAAAGCAGATGCCCAGAAGGTTTGGACTTCAGCTCCCAGCATCCCTGGCCCTTCCAGCAGGAGCTTTGCAGGGCTGGACATCCAAATGACTCAGAGGCCTGCCTCTTCTCCCTAGCCGGCCAACCTCCCCTAGTAAATCGTTCAAAGGTCCCCCTGCCCTCCGGGCCCACCCTTCCTCCCGGATTCTGCACTCACATCGAGGAAGCGCTGGTTGATTTCATAAATGATCTCCAGGTGCCGCGGCAGGAGGGTCTCAAAGAGGTGGACCGGCCAGCGCTCCAGGGCTTCCGGCAACACCGTGTGGTTGGTGTATGCGCACGTGCGGACCGTAACATCCCAAGCCTGAAACGCAAGCAGGCTGCTGAACAATCCTGCCCGCCAGCCTCCACACAGGCCCTTTCGCAGCCCTGGCTGGATTCGAACCCAGGACCTTCCCCACCAGAAGCACACGCTCTACCCTGAGCTTTCTAGATGAGGTCGTTTCCACAGGGGTAATTTTGCTTCCTTGCCTGCCTGCTGCTTGGTATTGCGGTGTGGAAGAACAGACCGACGGGTCCCTGAGAGTGAGGCTGGTGCCTGGTTCCACGTGCGCAAAAATACTGGGCTTTCCCTGCTCGGCTAATTCTGTACCACACAGCCAGCCGAGCCAGGCAAGCTTAGCAGAACGCCTCGCGGTTAGAAGCTAGCCAGTCCTGCTCGGAAAGATGTGGGGGAGAGAACCAGGGAGCATCGACAGAGCTTGCCCTTCAGGAAGTCCCCCACCTCACCCCGTCATGACCAGCTGCTTTCTTCCTCATCCTCTTCCTCATCATGGCCTCCGCTTGCTTGCTTGCTTGCTTGCTTGCTTGCTTGCTTGGCAGGCCAAGAGCGAGGAAGCGAGGCCGCCGTGGCAGCTCCAGCTCTTCCTTCTCACAGCACCGTGGGCCAGAGAAAAGGTGCCAAATGAGAGGGTCACAACAGGGGTGGGGGGTGAGTAATTCCAGAGGCTTTCGATGGCCGGCCATTCCTGGGCCCACAGTAACCATGCCTTGCTCCGTCCGTTCATTTGGGAAACAATTTGTGAGCCGCCCTGAGGCTTTGTTGCGATAAATAAACAAAATCAAATAAACTTTCAAAACTTGGCAAAATAAACTTTCTCTGTTCTCTTGCAAGGGGCAAGAAGGAGGCAAGGAGGAAGAGCAAAACTGCTTTTAAACTAGTTCTAAATGTTTATGGCAAAGATCTGTTCTTAAAAATGTAATTATATGTATGCTTAGATGTGCAGGGGGAAGTCCTCCAATTCCAGTTGGAGGATTTGCCCCCATGCAAGCAAACATACGATTACACCTGCATTATTTTCCTCTGCCCTCCTCCCTCCTGTTTCCTTGCATGCCGTGTCTTTTTATTTCTTTTTTATTTGTCTTAATATGTATGTATGTATGCATGTATGTATGTATTTATTTATTTATTTATTAAAACATTTTTTTGCTGCCCCATTCGCCGAAGCCTCGGGGCGGCTTACAACATAGGTTCAACATATTCCCATAGGTTCAGGACAGTTTGCAGGAAATTAAAATATAAACCTGTTGCCAGAGACGGCCTTGTTTTAGAGATTATAAACCACTAGTGAGACTTTTTTGTCTGAAGAGTGGGGTAAAAATACTGCAAACAAGGGAATAAATCAAAGTCTTCTCCTGTGAGCCACAGCTTGCTTTTCTTCCATTTCTGAGAAATTTTCTTTCCCCTTGCAATTTCTCCCCAGGGCTTTCCCTCCTTGCCCTTCTAGATGTTTTTACTGCCAACTTAAATTGAGAATTTAAGCGAATGTCTCACTCCAATTTTCTGGATAATAGCTGACTTCCCCTGCACTGGAAGTAAAAAGTCAAAGAAATGGCAGCAAAAACAGAAAAGGCTTTGGAGGAAGATAAATTACCTCGCAGAGAACCTCTGTGTCTTTACCTCAACACACACACTAGAAAAAATCTTTAAATCGGTGCCTAACCTTTTCCCACTCAAGCTTCTCAATATCCACCAAGACCCGCATGAGTTCTGGGATGGCCAGGGAGGGGTGTGTGTCGTTGAGCTGGATGGCAACCTGAAAGAGGCAGGAAACAGAGAGGACACCGGGTCAGAGTGGGGAAATGAAGTCCAGGAAACGTGGGATACCGTGGGACTGTTTTGCCATGGAGAGAACAGATGCCGGCAACACTGAATCCCTCACCCAGATCTAAGCTCAACAACATGCCGTTCTCCAACCGTTCCCACACCAGAAGAGGGAACCAGATGGGGCCCAAGTAACCCAGACGGGCCAGTCCGTGTTGCAGAACTGGCAATGCCAGGAAGCCCGTGCGCGATGTGTCTCGAGTTTGTTAACTTTCTGCCAATTTTGTTAATTTTCTGCTGCATCTGCCAAGACGAGGAGTCCTCCGTGGTCCCCTCTTTTCCTCCCTACAGCTCCACACCCTTGCTTCTGGCCACAATCCCCAGCCCAGCTGGAGAGGACAGCGAAGGCAGCAAACACAGCGGCAGAAGAGAACGAAGGTAACGAGGCTTTGCGGGGGCATCAGGACCCATTCCAAGAGCTGCCAAAAAAGTGTGGCTGGAACATCTTTATCTCAGAGGCTTCCCAGCAGGGAGTTCCAGAGAGTGAGCCCGTCGCTTCCCAATTACCGACTTCTCTATCTGAGAAGTTTCACCCAGTTTTGAGGAGGAGGTGGAGGAGCAAAGGGAAGTGAGGGCTTTGTGGTTTCAGGGTTACCTCGTGCGGTTTCTCTGGCAAAGCACGAGAACTGGCCTGCTTTGGAAGGGGCAGAAGGGTTTTCAGGATGGGAGGAGCAGCAGATGCGAGACCCCAGTCCTTGACCCCGTGGGGACGTGACGGTGGCACTTTGCTGCGCGAAGCAAGAAACAGACGCTTCAAAGCAATAGACGAGGTGGGTTGCATGGAAGGCTGGTTCACCAATTTCGGGGAGGAGAAAAGATTCCCCTTCCTTCCTGTGTTTTATGGGACATCTGTATGAAGATGGTTCCCATCGCAGAGATGTTCCAAGGTGTGATTCCTTCAGCGTTTCAGGATTAGGTGCAGGGACTGGGGAGCTTTGGTGCTTGAAAATTGATTTAAGGCATGATTTTCACAAGGTGTGAAGTTGCTGAGAGAACAGCTACTTCACAGCACCTTTCTTGCCCTCCCCCCCAAAGCGCATTTTAACCAAATGCGTCCGAGGCTTAGAAGTTGGGCCTTCCGTCTCTCAACTCCTTTCCCTTTCCCTCCTTCAGCATTTGGAGAAGCAAAACCAAAAGGCACTATTTGAAGACATGGAACCTTGAGGCTCGGCGCTACTTTGAACCTCAAATAACCTGGCGAGGCCTCTCGCTTTGAGGCAGCAAAGCCAAACCACACATTATCTGCCCCACCGGCTCCGTGGAGGCCGCCTGTGAAAATGCGGACTTTCTCCAGCCATGCGCAACAGTGGTATCGCCCCGTACCTTGTCTGGGAAGGCGTCAAAGGAGGTGCGGACGGGATCCCGACTGCCGAACTTGGAGGATTTGAAGCGGCGGATGATGTCCTGGAGCGTGGCGGCCACCACGAAGTATTCTTGCTTGAGACGTAGCTCCTTGCCTTCAAAGAACTTCAGAAGAAAGACAAGAGGTGGAGAATGACCCACGAGGCCGAAGGTGGAAGGCCTCGCATGCTCCCGGAAGAGGGTTGGTTGTGCGATCGCCCTGCCCTGTTCGTGGAACTTTATGGGGATCCGGGCAACATCACCTTGAATTTCTAACCCTCCGTGTCACTTCCACCTGTTAAAGGAGTTAGCCTAATCCATCACGTTTCCAGAATGTTCCTTGCCATAAATTTCCATGAGCATCAGATTCAGAAGCGCCTGATCCTGCCCAGTCTTGGAAGCTAAGCAAGGTCAGGCCCGGATGGGTGACTTAAAAGTTGCGAAGCACTCCCAGCTTTGAGCAAGGGTGGCCCAGAAATGTTTAACTACAACAGAAACAACAATAATATTGTTGTTGTTTCATAGTTGCAGGGAATGTGAAACCGCTTGACTTTGCAACACTTACGTTGTCATTGGGATACAGCACCCGGGAAATGTTCTCGGCCAGGTTTCTGTCCAGCACTGCCTGGATGTAGCCCCCAACATTAACTGAGTACATGGAGGGAAGAAAAAAAAAGAGATAAATTGTGCTCACCTGGAATTTAAATGGCTGTACCATTGGAAACTCTTTGGCATTCATGAAATACAGCACAAAATGCACAGGAAATGGCCTTACACAAATGGGTTGTTCACCAGGCCAATACTGCCTACTCTGACTGGCAGCCGTTCCCCTCACCTGATGCTCTTATTTGGACTGGACACTTTTATTTGTGGGCGGAACCCCCAAGCAAGGCCTTAGCACACCATCCTCCTGCCCATGATCCCCGGCAATCAGTGTTCATTGGCAGTCCTCCTCAGATAGTGGAGTGGCCGACCTCCATGAGGACTAGTAAGATGGCCTTCTCCTCCAATTTTAAAGCCATCCAAATTTGGGGGGGGGTCATCGCAACAGCCTTTGGAAGAAAACTCCATACTTTCTCAAGAACACACGTCGTGCAGCTTTGCTTCTTGGAAAGGAAGCCCGTGGTACTCACAGTCCTTCAGGTTGAACTCGTTGGGAGCCCGGGCAGACCAAAGACGCATGGTGTTTACGGTGTTGTTGCGGTACCCGGGAACGGGGGTGTCGTAGGGGAGGGCCAGGACCACCTGGAAGGCAAGGCGGGTGGGAGAGTTAGGGCCAGCATCGGGACTTCCTGGAGCACCTGTCCCGCTCACCCGGGTTCAAGGCACACCTGCCGAAGAGCACAGCAGGTGGGACTCCCCAGAAGGGACAAGCAAGGCTCAGGAGGCAGCTACCAAAGCAACCTTGCTGCCCATGGGTCAGAACTTGCAACAGGAGCTCCGTGACCTTCCAGGCAAGGGTTTCCCTAGCCCTACCTGCAAATTTATTAATTTATTTAAAGTTTTTGTATGCCGTCCCCTTGCTATATAGCCTCGGGACGGCTCACACAAATAAATACTGGGAATCAAACCCAGGACTTTGTACATGTGAGGGTGGGGACCCACCACCTGCTCCCAAGAAGAGCCAGTGTTGCCTAGTGGTTAGAGTGCTGCACCGGGACTCGGTTTGGGCATTGCACTCCCCAAAGTTGGCCGGTTGACATCAGGTCAGCCACAGACTCGCAGCCTAACCTACCTTGCAGGGTTGTGGGGAGGATAAAAGTGGGTGGCAAGCACGGATCACGGATCCCTTTGGGATCCTGGCAGGAAGACAGGCAAGGGGCACAGAGTGAAAACTCTACCCAGGGGCCTGGCTCACCTGCGTGTTGACCCATTTCACCCCGTCCTGGTCATGCTGCACGTTGCCATAGAAATGCACAGGGATCATGTACTCCGGGCGCGCCTTCTCCCAGGGGTTCCCGTAGCGCAGCCAGTCGTCCGCCTCTTCCACCTGCCAGCCCCCGGAAATCTTCTGGTTGAAGATGCCGAACTCGTAGCGGATCCCATAGCCGTAGGCGGCCAGCCCCAGGGTGGCCATGGAGTCCAGGAAGCAAGCTGGGTGCAGAGGAAACGAGGAAGCAGCGGTCAGCAAGAGCAGGCAGAACAAAGCGAGGGGGCGAGTCTGGAGCACGACGGCCGGAGCTGGGACGGGGCTCTGCCGGCAGGACGGGACGGCCGGCAGCGGGCGGAAGCAGGCCTGTGATCCGAGCCTGCCTCGCCACACAGGAAATCCGCCGTCCTGAAACAGGCCCATCCTGCCCCTGGTTAGAAACAGGCCTCGTTTCCGGGAATCCAGTTCAGAAGACGCTTGGGAATTCTAGCAGAGAGACAGGGCTCGGGGCAGGCCCGGCTCTGGCCGGGGTCACGGGGCCGCGAGGTTCCTTTCTGGAATTGGTGGGAACACCTCTGACCGCATGCCTGGCCCTGAGGAGGAATGGCCAGGCATGTCCGGAAAGTCCAGTGTCTGTTTGTTTCCCCCTCTGCATAAAGAACACCCAGAGCTGTCGAGCGTTAGCCTATTTCGTGGTCAGGGAAGAAAGGGAACGGATGCATTTGCCCAGCACTGCAAAACTGAAGCACTACCACCAACGAGCTGATCCTAAAAAAGATCTTGGACTGTGCAGAAATGGACACATTGACTTTATCATTGAAGGAGAAGGAAGATACTGACTTCTATCAAACCGGGGGCCCTTTTTATTATTGGCTAGAGAAACGGGACTTCGCATAGACTTAAATATGTTTTTAAGTTATTATAAATGGAAAAGGAAAGGTGTGGGGGCTGACCCAGCGGGCCTGATGTTTCTGATGATGGATGTTGGTTTTAGTTTTTCTTTGTTTTTAGGATTATAATTTCAAATAAAACTAACTATAAAAAGAAAAAAGGGAATGGCAAAGATGCCAACTGAGTTGCAAGGAAGAATCCAGACCTCCCTCACTCCAGCTGAAGCGACGCGGGTCCACCTCACCCAGTGCCCCATCTGCCCCAGCTGCGAGCTGCCCTCCAAGGCTGGGGCCGGGTGTCCTCAACGTCAGCCACGAGGTCTCTGCACCGAGAGGCGCACCTGGCCTAGGGGGTTGCCGTGGGGGCTCCTCTAGCACAAGAATAGGGGCCTGGGGCCCAATCCGGCTGCCCAGCACTCCCCAGAAGGCCATGCCCCCTCTGCTGGCCCCTCCCCACGCGCTGTGACGCCTCTTTGCTGGCGATGCAGGCGATCCCCCAAACGCTGCCCCATGGAACAGGGCCGTGCTAGTGGGGTTCTGTGGCCCTGGTCCAGGCCCGGGTGGGCCAGCCGGCCTGGTTCCAGGGCTCCAGGGCTGCAGACTGCAATCGCTCTGAGTGCTACCAGGACAGGACAGGACGGGGACCCGATCCGGGACCTGCCGAAGGCACAGTGCCCACCTGCCAAACGCCCGAGGCCTCCGTTGCCCAGACCGGCATCTTCCTCAATCTCCTGAAGCTCTTCCATGTCCAGGCCCAGCTGTTGGAGGAAAGGAAAGTGAAAACAAGATGGAACATGGGGGGGGGGGGAGCTGACGCTACCCAGAATCCTCAGCGGCCACCTCCGCCTCCTGGGGTACCAGTCCCATCATTTTAGACTCTGGACTGGATGATTTCAGCAAGGGTGGGGGTGCTGTTAGGTTTAGGGGTCCCCAGCCCTTTTCAGCTTATGGGCACACTGGGCATTTTGAGGAGGGGTGTCGTGGGCACTGTCACAAAATGGCTGCCACAGAGGGAGGACCGCTGGCTGCCACGGGTGTCTTTCTCTGACAGCCATCTCTGTACACTGGGTGGAAAAAGAATATATCCCAACACAGAGACGGAGGAAGAAAGGGTGGGGGGAACCACTCTAAATTCTGGAGCGTTGCAAATGAGACGCTCCCCCCTTCGTATTTCTGCAGGGTGGAAGGCCGTGAAGGGAAGCACAGAAATGGCAGACGGCTTCACGGGAAGCACCGTCATGCAAGCGCCAGCTCAGAGGTTCCCTCGTATTGCCACCTGTCCTTCAACAGGTGGGGCCTGGCGCTGCTGCTTTCGGGGCCTCCCCACCAACAGGTGTCCTCAACCTCTCCCAAAAGCAGCACTGTGCCAACCACCCGCCTGCCCCATCGCCCACCCCCCCAGGAGGCCCCAGACCTGGTAAGTCGCTTCATCACAAGCGTTCTGCAAGCCCAAGTTGACCATGGTGTTCTGCAAAGTCCGGCCCATGTAGAACTCCAAGGAGAGGTAATAAATACGCTGGAAGGAAGGAAGGCAGACCGACAGACACTGAGTGTGCGATTGCCCAACAAGGGCAGGGAGAGTTCTGGGGGCCCCTTCAAGCAGACGAGTGGAAGGTTATGCGACAGGCCGAAGATGACTCAGAATTTTATTCGGATCTTTTGGCTGCGCCGATCAACTCGGTCGATTTGAGAAGGGGTCGCAGCATCGAGGAACCCGCACCCCAAAGAGGCAGGGGTGCACAGGTGTGGGGGAGCTGCTGAATGTACAAAAGCGCCAGAGGAAAGTCTCTTTTGGAAAGAAAGTTCAGGCAGGGGGACCCAAAAGAGGAAGGCTTCAAAGAAGGTTAGGGAGGGAAGGTAATATTCTCAAAAGTGCATTTATAGCGTGCTATTCTGCCAAGGAGACTAGGGCAGCAGGCACGGCTCTCCTCCCTCGTTAGATTGGCACAACGACCCTGCGAGGGAGGACAGGCTGAGAGAGAAAGTGATCGCTTGCCTGAGGGATGAGGTTATGCACTAAACCTTGTGACGGGGTGTGTGTTTGTGTGTGCAGGACTGGTCTCCCCAGGCCTCTCATCAACCTACCACTGCAAAAAAATGCAGAGGCCAACAAAGTAATACCTAATTTTGTACCCAAGTACAAAATGTAATACCAAAGTAAATTGCCTAATTCTGTAAGAGTGCTTTTTCACCCACTGCAATGAGTGAGACTTCTTTATTTAGTATCTGTTTCAAGATCATGGCTTTTAGTCTTGCTGCTGGGTTATTTTGTTGTTTTATCGGTTTGTTGCTATATTGTTTATACTGTGTTCGTCCTGCTGTTGTATTTATATTCCATTTTTACTCTATTGTTGTTTGTGGCTTAAGTTATTATTGTAATCTATTTTTATCTATATTTTCTATTTTTAGCTGTATGATTGTAACGTGAGCTGTCCAGAGAGACCTCTGGCTATAGGGAAGCATACAAATGTGATAGATAAACAAATAAAAAATTTAGTCTGTGCAGGGAGCAGCTTTGGCATTCTCCCCTCCAAACTAGTGCCCTTTGTGAGGGTGCTGGATGGGGCACTCTGCTTATGCTCAGAGGCTCTCCTTTGGTTGTGGATAATCTTCCGCACATTCATACAACTAAGCCCCTTTCAATATGCGCCTGCTGGCAAAGGCGGAGAAAGGAGGAGACAGAAACGAAAAGTTGTTTTCTGTGGGGGAGACAGCTGAGAGCCCCCAGAAATGGAGAGCATGGATCCCAGCCCCACTGTTGGCTGACTGACCTTTCGGAGGCCAGCTCAAGTGTGAAGTTGCCGGCTGTATCTGGTATCCCTTCCCAGAGCCTGCTAGTGCTGACACAAGCCTATTCCAAAATTAAATGGCAAAAGTTCGCAGCAAATGTCAGACCGGGCTAAAATTAAAAAGAGCGGGGCTCTCTCTGCCACTGCGGCCGGCACCTCCCCGGCCACGCTGCACCGAGGAACAAAGCAGGGCCAGGAAAGTTGGCCCTGGGTCTCCTCTAAGCCTTCGGGCACTGGACAGCCCCTCTTCCGGGGCAAGAAACAACTCCACTCCGTAATAGCTTTGGAGGGTGGCAGCCAAAGGCAAAAAGACGGGCAAAATCTGCCAACGTATTTTAACTTCCCACCAATAAACGGCCATAAGCCACATGTCCCACTGCAGAAAAAGAGCCTAAAGACATGTTTCAGAATTGGGGGAAGGGGCTCTGGCAATCCGGGGACCCCCGAGGTTCTACATCTCTGTGTAAATGTTCTGGATCAAATGCATCCAGAATGCGTAATGGAACAGCGCGATAAGCGCACCTTGCTTGGGAGCCGTGGGGGGCGGCATCGTCGTTAAATTGGGGAAACGACGGCCTTGCAATTGGCGGAAAGCTTCGTCCCCCCAGCATCATTCTGTCGGATCAGCAGCGGGTCCAGCAGAGATGCTGGCTCCCCCCTCACCTGCCGCCTCGCCCCTTTGGAGCCCAACGCAGCCCCTTGCGCCTCTGGAACCGCAAATGCTCGAAAGCCACCTGCTTCGCAAGCCATTGCTTTTCTCGCCCCATCCTAGCCCCCGTGCCCAAGTTCAGATTCCTCTGCCGGACTCCCGCACTATGGAGGAAAACGCTTGTTTTGCAACCTCCAAAATACAGGTAGGAATTGAAGGAGCCTTTGGACCTGATGGCGGCGGGGTGGGGGTGGATTAGCGCTTCTGCTGCAGCTCCTTCCCCTGATATGCAGCTTGGAAGACATCCCAGCAATGTTGGGCCACATCTCAAGGAGCTATTAATACCCGCTGACAGTAGGCCAGATCAGTTCCCACCGCACCAGCTTGCAAGGCTTGAGGGCTAGTGGCCTTAGCAGCACTTGCAAAGATTTAGGGAGGGCAGCGAAGGGGGGTGCTGTGGAAGGCCCTGCTCCAGGGCAGCGGCGACCTGTACACTCTTCCTCCTGAATTCAGGAGAGCTGCAGGAGACAAGCAACAGGGACGCAGACGGTGGCAGAAGAGCTGGAGAGGACAGACGGAGGGTTCGGCTAAGCCAGAGGCAGGCAGGCTGGCTGGCTGGCTGGCTGGCTGCGAGGAGGAGCTGCTTTCGGACACGGGCCTTCCTGCCACCCCAGCGTCCCGTTGCCGCAGCTGTGCATGCCATGCCAGCTCCCAGTCCTCGGGGGTCAAGGCCCCGTGGCCACCCCCTTGCGGGAGCCTCACCAGCATCGCCCGAAGCTGCAAGCTCTGCCTCCACCCTCGTCGACCCACAGACGGGCAGCCTGCGGGTGCCCCGGGGCTGAAGGCCACCACCAACCAGGCAGCCCGCCCCGAGTGCTGGTCCCCAGGTGGAGCTGTTGCGTTAGGGCTAGGAGCCACGCGAGCAGCGAGCGAGCCGGCCAGCTCTTGGCCCCAGCGAGTTGCAGCGAAGAGGAACAGCTCCCGTGACCTTGTGCATTCAAGATGCGAAGCACATTCTGGTCTAATTGGCAAGCGGTGGCTTCTGTCCGTCTGTTCCCCGGATTTGATGCTCCGGGGCATCCCAGGCGGGAAGGCCGGGAGAGCTTCCCCCGGCAGGGCTGGAGGTTCCTCCCCCGGGCCCGGGCCC